CCGAAGCTTCTTTTTACCACGCCTTTATTCCGTCATCCATTGGATTTGAAAGAGCAACACAAATCACTCAAAATGAAAAATCCGCTTAAAATGCCGCACAAATATTTGTGAAGAAAAAGTAAGTGGAGGACTGTTTGGGAAGGGGGGTACAATTGCGTGTATCTGTCAACAAATAAGGTTGATGTCTCTCTGCCACTGATGGCGATAATGCTGAGGTTGATGATGACACTGAATACGCTGTGGGTCGGGGTCGACACGCTTGTATACAAATGCAAATACCATTAAATGTGACAAGTGGCAACATAATTTGTTAGCGCCTGAGAAGTAGATGGCGCACTCCGCTTTCTTTTTCTCATTTTTCCTTGTGTTACGCTCAAATATTAGCATATAAAGCGCAGTCAGGGGGAAGAGGGGCTTGAATGCTCCTGCCAATGCTTACAAGTATAATGGTGAGAATGAAAAGAATGTACGCTACTTGTCACAATACTTCCCATAATAACTTATTTGTCAGTTGGCATCAGTTGTAAATTGCGCCGTGGAAAGTGGCAGAGCATTGGAGGAACTATATTGTTTTAAGCAAATCTAAATATTTGCAGTTTTCTTTAACAGAAATTTGAGTATTTTTTTCTTGTTCGTATTTTTGAAAAAATGAATTCCAAGTGTTTTTGAAACATTAATAAATTGCAAATAAAGCTAAGTGAAGGTAGCTTTAGATATAAAAATACTGCTAATTCACAGATATTATATAAACTGGAATAGTTTTTGTTCATTTTGCATTTTTATTTCGCTATAATAATAATAAGGTATATTGAAAATAAAATAGAAGCTTGCCAAACTTGTGAAGACTGCACATATTAAATTAAATATGTTAAATAAAATGCTTGCCTTTTTTTATCAAAGAATCAAGAACTGCTAAGACAATCAATTTCATTGAGAATAATCGATTTTAAATGTTCACTAGCTATTTGGGCTAAGTACTTATTTTGAATATTTATAAAACTTTTGGCTAAACCTATTGCAGTCATACGTCATAAACCTTATGATGAACTACAAATTATGGTCAAATGACGGATTATTTTTACACGTTTTGGCAGACAACATTCAATTGTAACATATTCGATGAAAAGATTAATAACAATTAATAGCTAAACTGTACATTTCGTGCAACGAAAAAGTATTAGAAATTTAAAGAACACAAATTTAAAATTGTCATCTCCTAGAAAATGACTAACCGAATAGGTGTCTTTTGCTGGCGAGCTCTAAAATGCACAAACACATTTTTCCACAGATACAATATCCATCTGTGAAAAGTTGTTCTTTCCACACAGCGCCCAATGGTATGCTTTGGAATTTTTCTAATTAACTTTATTATAGCAGGAGGGGTGAGAAGGGAAGGCGCCAACAACATCAAATCATAGCAAACCAACATGGCAAAGGACAAGATACATAACTGTGAGCCAGAGAGGCGAAAATGGCCAACCACATGCTGTTACACAACACTGGAAAAGTTTATGTTGCCAAAACGTTAGACAAACGTGCCCTGAACGATTTTTGTGGCTTTTTTGCTTTTTGCTCTAAACAACAATAGCACTTTGCCAGGGACCCTTCAAAAAGGACAGCAAAAAAATATGGCAAGGAACTGTTGGAAAAGCGTGTTGCTGTTGCTAGTGGTGTGCGTGTGTGTGTGTGTGTGAAAATATTTAGTCGTATGTGTGTGTTTATTGTTTATTTACGGAAACCAGCCAAGAAAAACCCCAAAAAGGCAGCTAACATGCAGCTTGGCATGGCAGCTGTTTGAAGGCAAACTAAGAAAATGTACAAAGAAAAAGCCAGGCAGCCAGCCAGCCAGCCAGCCAGGACTCCCTCCCTCTCTGCATCCTGCCTGTCATGTTGTGTTTTGGTTTTGCCAGTTATGCTATTGTTGCCAGCACGTTGTGGCAGTAGCAGTAGTTGAAGTTGTTTTACGAGCTTACGGGGCGTAAACTAAACTGTATTATGGGATAGATGGCGGATATATGGCTTAGAAATTAGAATTGTCATAATTCAAGCTCGAACTATTTAGGTTAGCTAGAGAAGGCTTAGAATGGAACAATTTTCATATATTATTATTCTAGAATACGCGTAAATTTCTTATTTTTTTATTTTAGTATATTAATAAATTCTGTATATTATATTATAATATATTATTAATGTGCAGTAGAGATATATATTATTATGTTATAATTGTAGCTTAAAAAAGAAGAAAGCCTTTAAAAATAACTAAGCAATTAAGTCAATAAAGAAGAAAACTTAATTCACTTAAGAGCTTATTCCATAAAGTAGGAGCAGAAAGAAAAAAAGGAATTAGCAACCCTGTGGTGGGAAATTTTATTATCCGTGCGAATCAGACTAGAGAGCTGTTATTTTATTAATCACCTACATTGTTACAATTTAAGTAATAATTTAAAAAATTGATCACCTTCAGAGCAATTTTTCGCAGTTTCAAATTTAATGACATATTTCTGACAATGCATTTATTGAAAAATAAAAATCCACACTTTGCCTCATTATTAAAAATTCTGAAGTAGGTAGGTTACTATCATAAAGTCCTGCTTACATAGGTTTCCATATTGAATTTTTAGGAGCTTGTGGTCAGATTCTATCAGCAAGAATTCAATATAAAAGCAGCCACTTTATTTTAATAAGTATGTGATTAACGTAAAGCTCTATATGCTTATATAGCTATAGTAATGCAATTTTTACGACCTTGTGTTCAGATTCTGGGAGAAACAGTTCTCATTTAAAACAAACGCAGTCACTTTATTTCTAAAAAACTATATCCTTTAGTCAATCAGCCACCTTACAAATACAATAATTTGTAATCATTTAGAACAGCAGCCAAAATAAAAAGTTGTGTGGCTTTTTAAAGACAGTTGTCAGCATTTACAACAATTTTTTATGTTAGGTCCCATAGTACACTGGGCTGTTGGGGATATTCTTCACATGGCTCCGCCCTATAAGCTGCGACTAACTTTGCTTCCGCTTCATTTCAGAAATCTATTTGGTATCTTCCTTTTGGCTGAGGCTGGTTGGTTGGTTGGTTGGTTGGCATCATCATTTGATTGTCAATACATTTTAGTCGCATTCGCAGCGACAGGATAATGCATGTAATCCGCTATTAAGTGCACATTGTCAATCGTCCTCGACGAAGGCGATGCCAATGACGACAGCGACGACTACGTCGATGTCCTAACCCCCAAAAGGCGTACCGCTTGCGTGTGAGAAAATGTGCAGTATTTCTCACGCTGGGTTCTCTTCCTCCCCCGTACTGCTATTTAGGAGTGAAAAAGTGTGGTTGTTGTTGTGATGCTGTGCACTGAACCCCATCAATAGATAGCCGCCAAAGCAGCCGCTGCTGTTGTTGCTTTTGTTGCTGTTGTTATGTGTTTTTATGCTACATTTAATGTTGGCTTAAGAGCTTTAAAGCTAGCATTGTTGTTGCATAGTTGTGGGTCTATACATACGACTATATGTGCCTGTAATAGCGAGTGTGTGTGTGGACTGTGGCAGGACTCAAGGACATTTGCTTGGCAATAAAACTGAGCATGACATGCAAATCATGTCAGAAGATGATGGTGTCTTTCTATCTTCAATTGGATTAAGAGGAAATCGAAAATAATGGCATATTCTATTGCTATTATCATTATTTTATACGCATCACATCATTATCTAATAATGAATGAGCATGAAACAGAGAAAAATTGATGCAGCAAATGTCCTTAATTCGGACAGAGGGATAAGCAAATGTGAAAAGTAAATGCTTCGTTCAAATGGGAGCTGTATGGGATTTGTTTCCTATATATTGAAATGAACGATTGTCTGTACTACGGTTGATGGAAATTTGGAGAAGCCCGACATTTCTCACTATAAGCCGGGTATTAAAACTACAGAATATCGTTTTGAAAGGTGTATCGGACTAAGAACGCTTTACACGCTTTCTAGCGATGTTTAATAGCTTTCGTACACTGTTTATAGTGGGCAAGGAGGACAGTTTTTTCCCAATAGTTGTATTATCAATGCTAGATCGGGCACTCCTGGAATTTCTCCCGTAACGTCCACAAATTTCACGCAGCCAAGATAGCCTCCAGAGGATTTAATCGTATTTTAAAGAATCAATCAAAACTGCTGTATGCAGCTGTCTTCTCCTTTTGAAACTCCAACTTACCAATAGATTTATATAAAGTAGAATTAATAATTAAATGAAATAAATAATTAAATAAGACTAAACTCCTAGTTTAAACTGTATTTGTATTTTTCTATAATTTTAAGTTGTTGTAAATAATAACACTATAATTAAAGTTTTAAATTAAAATTAAAATAAAAAAAATCCGAAGAACTTAGCCAATTAGTCTGTATATATATTCTAAGAATAAAGAGCCTTTTAATAAATAATTTCAAGTGTGATCTGGAAAAGCTTTAAACTTATTTTATGTAACGTTGCTATTAAAAACGACATATTTAATTTTGTGCAAAAATCTAACAAATTTGTTATAAATATAATTTAAGTAATTTTTCCCAAAATCTATAGATAGCTTATTGTTATTTTCGCATTTTTTCAACCTTCCGTGTCAAGGAGCAGTGAAAACTGTTAGTCCCTTCTCATTTAAACTTCAACTTGCCTTCTAAAATGAAGGCAGCACTTTAGCGTTTGTGGTTCGAGAGCTGGGGTTGAATATTTTATAATCAGCTTAATGACAACTACAACAAGTACACAAGCAATTGCCAAAGTGTTGGTGTTGGTGTCGTTTTCGGAAAGACTTTTTACTCTCCAAATGCGTGGCGTCCCAAAAGCCCGCGGCATTTTGGTTTTGAATTTAATGTAATTTATGCCGCTGGCTTTGTTGCCCTTTCCCTTTTCCCGAGCAAATTCCCTGCATAATTAAATGAATTTGGCAAGTAAAACAAACCTTTACAGCTAGCAGAGATTGGAGTAATGGATAGATGGAGCTTCTTACACTTACCGTCCTTGTTCATGGCCGACTGAAAGCATTTGGCGAGCCGACAGGCACGGCACTGATTTCTATGTGTTTTGTCTACGGGACAGCGACCTTTGAGATCGCCGGTGGCTTTGCAGGTGTAAATGCGATTGCGATGTATGCTGCGCTTAAAAAAGCCAGAGCAACCTGTATGTAGAGTAACAGAGTGCGGCTTAATGGCTATAGGGTAGAGGTTTCGCCTGCAAGCACTTACCATCGCAACTATAGATGCCATAGTGTTTGCCCGAGCTGCGATCGCCGCACACCTTGCACGGAATGTCCAGCAGACGATCGCCAGCTGCAGTGAGATAATGAGCAGATTTAGCTTGGGTTATCATGGGTTGGAATGGGAAGATTTGAGGAATACGATTATGTTTAATTCAAAGGAGTGCATTGTCAAAATGTCAATGAGAAACAATTCTTGCCAACTTCGCAAAGTAATTCTTCAATAAAGTAATTCTACTTAAATTGAATTAATACTTATAAAACTATTTATTTAAAAGCAAACCTTTTTTGCGAGTCAGGGAAAACTAAAAAAAATACATACAAAAATCAATGAATTTTTGTTGTGAAAATCTCTTAAATCTTTATATACATTTGCCTAAAAGTTTATTGTGTATAGCGCTCCTAGATTACAGAATTGTTGCTGAATATTGGCAATATAGACTTCTCTTCTCTCTTAGGAAGTGCTAACTTTTCTGTTCCTTTTGGACCAACAATGGTTTATTTACTATTTATACACAATTGGCTATGCATTACAAAATCCTTGAAAGTTGAAATTTTAACGAAATATAAATAAATAATAAAGAAAGAAAATAAGTAAGCTGTTAGCAACAGATCTGTATACTTGTATGTTTACATCATAATAATATTCCTTATTTAATTGTTTCGATTACTCTCCTTTTCAATAGATTTAAAATAATAATCCAAAACATCAGACATGACCAATTATTCGATTAGATTGTGCAAATTCTATCACATATCCCTTAAATGGAATATAAATTTATAACCAAAAATGGCAAAAAATACACACAACTTGGGAATCGACATTACTAAGATAAATGTAATGTTGTGCTTCATTAATAGTTAAATTAAATGATTAAATGTTTATAAATTAATCAGAATATAGACACCTATTTAAAAAGATTTGTTTCGACAATGCGCTGAAATATATATTAGCGATCGTAAAAATGTGAAAAGATGGAAAGTTTCCAAATAAAGATAACTAAAAATACATTTCATTTCTTTGGAATAGACATTTTGAAGTAAAAGATATAGTTTTAAGAAATATGTATAATACCTAATCTCAAAATATAGACCTTTACTCTTAGTCGTGCTTGGCTCTAAATTCTACAAGTCTACGCGTTTATTTGGCGGCTTTTCTGAACGTGTTGGTTTTATTACCTAAAACTATCAATTTTAATTTGAATAAACGATTATGTATGCTCAAAATATTTTCATATATTTATCGTTTGGGACCTCCACGCTTTTAAAGAAATATCACTAAGTTATGGTATATTATTTATTAAACTTATTTTAACTTATATTTAATTCTATAATTTAAAGTTGTTGTTTGAACAAATTGAATTGACGCACAGAACGTAATTTAAAAGTAATTAAAATTAAGTAAAATATTAACAACAATTTTGGGAACAAATGGTTTGCTTTGAAATATAGTGCGCTAGGTAATAGTAATATAGCGATTATTGCTATTAGCTAATATTTTTATTATGCCAAAAACATACGCTTATATTCAGTTAAAAACACTGTAGAAAACATTGTAATCGAAAAGTTTGGTCAGAAATAATGCCAGCCCCTTTTCCAAGTTTCATTTGAGCGGTGTGTCAACTTTTTAAAGAAGCCCGAACAGACAGACACACACGCACAATATTTAACTTTTATTAAGAGCTAAGCCTGGCCTGAAGAGCCATTTCCAATTTACACCATAGCCCCCCCTGCCCGCTGCCCGGTATAAAGACATTGTGGACAAATACGGCGTGACACGCACGTTGGCTGCTTTGTGTGGCATACTTTGCGGCGTTGGCAGCTTGTTTGTCGTGGCTTTGCTTTCTGCCACTGCCACTGCCGAGTGCGTGTGCGTGTGTGTGTGTGTGTGCGCGTTTTCATGTGTGTGCCACACTGCTAACTTTGTGCAATTTTCACTTGCTAATCCCTAGCACACACACACACACACACAAATACACTTACGGACTCAGACTCTCATAAACAAAGACAAAGGCACGCTCCACAAATTAAGTTCAACACTTGGCACTTGTCAAAATAGAACGCCCTACTCTATGTTACGCCTTTTTTGCTCACCCTATCCATTTAATTATATATACATATACTCGTGTATGCCTCTGTGTGTGTGACATTTGACATATTGTGCCATGACGCCGTCGGCGCGTGTTGCCAATTTTCACACCCTGCGCATCTGCAATTGTCCGCATCGTGTTTAACACCACTCGAGTGTGCGCTACCCTTTTTTATTTGGGGTGTGCCGGTCAGCGCCCACCCCCAGGACCGCAGCAGCATCAGCAGCACGGTCCTTCACCCATTCGTCCACTTCAGCTGCAACAAAGCAGTCAAACTTTTGACGAACCTTTGCGATTTTTATTTATCTGCAACGGCGTTGTTTTCTTTTTTAAAATTTCTTGTTGATTTTGAATATTTTTGTTTATTTATGCTACAGAACTTTTTTTTCTTTTATTTTTTGTTAGCTTAGCAAGTTCCATAAACAGTTGACAGTGCCAGTACGTGAGTGAATGAGTATTTGGGTTGCCCTTAAACTATATGGCAATATGTTTTTGAACTGGTATGGAAATCTGAGCATGTTTTGATAAGTAAAGAAGCGGGCTAAAGAGTGGGCAGACGTGGGATTTATAAATTCTGAAGCGTGAGAATTTGTTGCCTGGGCAAGATTTATGATTGAATGTAGATTGGAAAACAATATATCCAATAATAATGAATCACATAGCAGCTATGCGGTTGAAAGCAAAATGCAAGAGCCAGCTTAACTCTATTTGAAGCAAATGCAGAAATAATGAGAAAAAACTAAATCCTATTGATATTGAAATTATTAGATTCGCCCCTGAAGCTAAGTCTAGCAACAAATAATTAGAATATTTAATTTAAAGTTTAAATGTTTAAAGAACAAACATATACTTTTTCTTTTAAGTTGTAAAGCATTTAAAATGTTCCCAATTATGTTGGAATAAATCATTTAATGTAACTAAAGTTGGAAATGAAAACAAAGCCTTAATCAAGTGCCAAAATTCTACATATAGTAGTTTGTTTTCGGAACGTACAGCTTAGAAACAGTTCTACAACATCAACCAAGTTTGAAGCTATATATTTATTTTTATAGTTTAACATTTCAGCTAAAATAGTCATATTGTGTTTAGCAAGACTTTTTGCCGCAAAAAACCGGTTTACGTTAAATTATTATGCTTTTTATTGCTTGATTCAAAGAATCGTAAGAAATCAATACAAATATCTTTTTTGTTCTAAGTGAAAACCCATATGAGTAGTTTACTTTTATATTTCACTTAACGAACTCCCTTTACAGCTAAGAACCAAATCAATATTCTATTTTTATTTATTTATTTACATTTCCCAAACAATTGCCAAAACTTGCAGTCGCTTTCTTAAATTATTAACAGGTTTCTTTTTCATTAAAATTAGAACGAATGTCAATTCCGTTATACTTTGTATTTCCTAAAATAAAAATTGTACTTTTCGCATTTTGTTTCTTGAAATTCCAATAATGTTTGCTTAAGCTCTGTGAAAAGTTATCTAGTCGAGTTAAAATTTCACAAAGGCGGAGACTGCAAAGCTTTTCTGACTCACTTTTCTCAAAGAAACTTGTAATCAACTGATTTTAAATGTTCTCTTCCGGTTAGAATTGTTGCTTGTCTTGCTTTGAAATTCCGTCGGTAAAATCCTTTAACGTTAGCTACCAATTTCTCACTCAACAACACCGCGTCACAAGAAACCTTCTTAGATATTCGAGAAGTATGTTGCAATTATTACCTGTTCCCATTTTCCGTTGATGGAAATATTTAAACCCTAAAGTATCCAGCGTGATATGTGGTTTTTGTCTAGAAAAGGACTGCAATGTCACACAACGATTATATGAGCTTTCGATTTATAACTCAATCACTTGTTTCAAACCGTTTGCAATGCTGCCTTTTAAATATTATTTGTTGTATTATACGCTGTTCGAAGATTCGAAGAAATTTGATTTGATTTGTAAAAACACACGCAAAATATTTTCCGTTTGACACTTTTCCGACGCCAACGAAACGCGCAACGAAACACACAACTGTTTGAAGGACGCTGCCTGCCGTAGATCCGGAGCGCTTGGGCTGACGGACCAACTGTGAATGTGAAAGGCGTCCAGCCAGCTGCGCACAGACCGCCAATTACGAAAGTGAAGCTGCCAAGAAGAGGTCCTTTTTTGCAGTCAATTTGACAGGCACGGACACACACACACACACACACACATACAGACACAGACGCGCATAAAAGCCAAAAGCAGCGGTGGCTGCAGCGCCGCCACCATCCACACCCACACCCACAACCACACCGCCTTCAGAGCGCAAAAAGCCACAAAACGAGCCAACGATGCCGCGACAACAACAAAAAGCGAAGGAGGACGACGACGACAGCGACAAAGCCGGGTGGAAAATTGAAAATAAAATGAAAAAAGGAAAACGGAAAACGGCAAGGCGGTAAGGCGACGGTAGCCAACGGAAAAAAAGCATGCGAGCAAATGCAGAAGCAAAACGTCGACGAAAAAGTCGAAAATTTACGAAAAGCTACAGAATGTTACATTTCATCCCTTGAGAGCAGCAGGACGACGACGCTGCTGCGCCGCAGCGGCCAACCAGTCAGCCAACCAACCAACCAACCCAAACCCAATCATCCCCTCCCACTCCCACCACCCCCCCTCCCCCACAAAACGCGCGGCATTGCGGCCAAGTGGCGAGCACAACAATCGGGCAGCCAACCGGAAAACGCCCTTTTTTTCCATGCCCTGCCTGATGCGATTACAACAAATGAGGAGACTTCCTGCCGTCCACCATTTTTGTTTTGCTGCTGCCGCCCCACCATCGCACACACACACACACACACACACATACACTGCGACATATCCTGTGGCTTTCGACAATTCACCACAAAATGTCAAGAATGACGAAAAGCTAGCAACGGAACGCAACGCAACGCAACGCGTCGCTGCCGTCATCATCAGCGGCGCAGCAGCCACCAAATGGGAGTTCAGGCCTCTCTCAGTATCTGTATAATATATTTATGTGTGTGTGTGTGAGTTGCATGTGCTGGCATGCCAATCTCTCGTCCTGCTCTTTATGTGCTCGGTGCGCTTTCTCTCTTCGTGGCGCTTCCGTTTCCACTCTACTCTCCTTGGCCCCCAATGCCTTCTGGCTCAGCAAATATCTTCACCTCTGTCCGCCCTCCCGTCTGCCTCGCTGGCTTCTTTCGTACTTATATTTATACTCTGTACATGAAATGTACAAGAGTATATTAGGTTTGCGGGAGCTGAAAAATGTAACAGGCAGAAGGAGGCGTGGCAGACCCCACAAAGTATATATATTCTTGATCAGCATGACGAGACGAGTCGATCTAGCCCTGTCTGTCTGTCTGTCCGTCTGTCCGTCTGTCCGTCTGTCCGTCCGTATGAACACCTGGATCTCAGAGACTATAAGAGATAGAGACACCAAATTTTGCACGAAGATGCGTTATGTGTGTATTCTATACGAGTTTGTTTTATTTTTTTGATTTTCCCCCCCACTTCCCCCCTATGGGGGTTTTCCCGATTTTCCATTCGTATAATCGCCTATATCTCGGAGACTATAAGACCTAGGAACACCAAATTTTAGTCCCAGATGCCTTATGTGAATACGCAGAAAATGTATATTTTGGAATTCCCCTCCCTCCCCCCTCTACCCCGCAAATCGTAACTCCCGTAATTCTTGGAATTTCTAACTAAAATTTTGGAAATACCCCCAGTTAGTTATTATGTGTCCGTATGCCAAATTTCATTATGATAGACCGATTTAACAAGAAGTTATAGCCATAAATATATTTGCTGATGCAGCGCTGCTGCAGCGCTGCTCAAGCGCTGCCCGCGGCTGTTGTTGATGTTGCTGTTTGGTTGACTGCGAAAATGCTTACACAGACACGAATAGATGCGCATAGGCATACATAGACTCACACAGACGCAATTGCTATGTAAATGTGCAATTATAAACCCTTTACGTGAGTTCGAATACCGAGAGAGGTAAAATCGATCAAATTTTTTTTTTTATTTTCTTAATTTTTTTTATTTTCTATAATTATTGTAAACATATGTACAGAGTATTTCGAAGTCGGGACACCCGACTTTAGCTTTTTTACTTGTTTTTTACTGGGTCGGAGCTGTGCTTGTAGGCTGTCGGATTATTAGTTCTAAAGTCAGGATCTCAGCTGTGCGGCGCTACAGTGTGCAGCATTCCGGGTTTGACTGAAAATTTGTATTAGAAGGCTATATATTTGTGTTATAATAGCTTCGATTTTCTGCCCTGTTATTCTCGTAGTTGTTGTATTTCGTAAAGTATTAATGTATATACAGATGTATGTTTTGTAAATGTTGTTTCTCTAGTTTGGTTTTAACATCTAATCCAATTGGGCTTTGTAAATATTTTCGATTATGTAGAATTAGACGCTTAATATATATTGTCGCAGCGTAATGCAAACTGTATCTTTATTTTATTTATTTGATTTTTTTTTCTTTAATTTTAGTTATGTTTTTACTTTTTATTTCATTTTTTAATTTTTATTTGGTTTTTCATTTTATTTATATGTTTTATTTATATAAGGCTTACTAACAATTATTTAAAAAGATTAAGTTTTATTCTTTAGCAACTTCTCTCTGATAAATCAGTGACCTCTTCTGTATCAAAGTTTTCTTTTTAAAATGGTGGGGATATTTTCAATTGCTAATTTGAACATTTCCTAGTTCTAGAAGTTGCAAAGTTGTAGCTTTTTGTCAATGCTGAAATCAAAATACTCGTATATATGTATAGGCAGTTTAAAATATAATTATTATTATCTTATTAAAATATTGATGTGTTTTAAAGTGAAAAGAGTAGAAAATTATGATTTATACAATTGTTCTGATTGAAACTGCTCAGCATTCAAGCATTCGTAATTATAGAAATACTATATAAATCAATCAAAAGCTTTGGGGGAAAATAGCTTAAAATTCGTTTGCGTTAAAAATGCTTAATGTTTTAATTCATAATAAAAAATATATAAAACAATATGTATCTAAGTATAATATTACAAGATCAAGAAAGTAAATAACTAACATGATAGTACAATTATTTGTTAACAAAATAAGAACTGGAAGTAAAATCAGAAGGATAACTCCAAGTATTTAGGTATTTAAAATTAATAATTTATATATTAAATTAATAACTTATTTCAATAAAAAAATGGCAATAAATAATAGTACATTTTATAAAAGGAAGAAAACAATTTACATTTACAAGGGAATGAACATTTTAAAACAACATTTCCAGATATTATTTTTAAATGAGATGACAATATTTTTAAATATTTTTGAAATGTGGAAATTTGTTTAGCAAAATGTTAATTGCAAGATCCCCTCAGTTTTCAAAGAGAATATAGCTTATATAACATGCAAGCCAAGACTATATAAAACCTGCAAGACATGCCCGTATTTTGTGGGAGATGGCGTAGCGCAGCTTACTAAGGATATGCCATATGTGGAATGGTGTGTATGTGCTTCAGTGTGTATGTATATGTAGTTGTGTGTGTGTGTGTGTATGTGTGAGTGAATGTGGGTAAGTGCGTCGACATTTTCGCAATGGCGTTTGCGCTGCTGTTGTTGCTGGTCTGGGCTGGTCTGGGCTGGTTTGGCTGGCTGGTGTTGTTGCTGGCATGTTGATAGGGGTTGATTTACTGACTCTCATCTAAATTGAAGTGACTTTTGTGACATTGTGTATTGGTTGCACACTCACACTCACACACACAGACACACGCACACATCCGGATTGCTATGCAATGCGGCGGGCGGCTTAGCTGTAACGTACGTCTTGTACATAATTTAGGGGTGGAGTCTTGTAAAGCCGCCCCATGTTAAGTCATTTAGGGGCAGAGGTGGACATTTTACAGCCCATTAAGTGTTTGTGGCCTGTGGGGCCAACTAAACAGGTTAAACCCTATGGGCGATATGTAGAGCTCTCATATATGTACATACATATAAATGGTTATGTGTGTGTGTGTGTGTGTGTGTGTGTGTGTTATATTTTATGGTGCACTTTCTTTATGTATCCACTCGTTTGGCACTGCCATACACTCTGCTGCTGGAGCACAATCCTGCGGTTATATTAACCAGTCAGAGCGCAAAGTCATTTGTAGCGCCAGTAATTCACACCCACACCCACTCCCACATCCGCACGCACCGCACACACAGAGTAGACATCGACATCGACATGGACACTGACACCCTCGCACACAGACACAAATTTGCGGCATCAAGAAGTCGCATTTTTTCCTATGCTCTCCTATGCTGCACGTAATATAATGCCCGCAAACCCAACAGCCCTAACCCACCCCACCCCACCCCAGTCCAGCCCAGCCCAGCCCAGCCCAGCTCGACCACAACCAACCAACATGTCAGCTCTCAGCAGCAGCCATGGTGTGTATGTGTCTTAGGCCACGCCCACCACACAAATAAACTCACCACTGTACGCTAGGTGGCGCAGGCGCATGCCTGAAATGTTCGAAACATTGCCGAAAAATGTTCGAAACAACAGCCGGCTGTGAGATTTACGGCGTCAGTGTCAGGCAGCTGTAAATTTTCTGGCTGCTCAATGCTCATTCTATTCGAAAACTTCAACAAAATCAGTCGTGCTCCTAGCAAATGAAAAAAATTCTTTAAGCATTTTTTTCTATTTTACTTTGGAATGAGCAGCTGGAATACACCCTAAGCTGTCCCATTAGATAGAGTATACGAGAACAGGTAAGACATTATAAAATGGTTGATTGAAAACGGAATTCGGCTTCAATTAGAAAAGGCTTTACTCAATACTTTACTAAAAGCTGTTACATCTATGTATGCAGTACAGCGTTCCGACATCCCACCATGGACGGCTTCAACCCTTTCCAAGCGGGCCCCAGATCGCAGGCTTCTTTTTATAATGGCTACAATTGTCAGTGGTCTGCCAATCGGAGCTGCGGAAATGGCAGTTGCCAGCGCTTGGACGACTGCTGCTGCCAAGGCGGTTGCTGTCCAGGAGGGAACTGCTGTCCCGGCGGTCAATGCCAGCGCAACGGAATCAACTCGAATCGTCAACAGAGCTCTTCCTACAATGGACGCTGGCATTAAAGAGCTTGGCGTTTCCATTTAATGGCAACAAAAAATATAAAAAAAAAAAACAATGGCGGCGGCGATGGTTGCTATTCGCAGCTGCTGCATTCCAACGAACTAAGTTGCATAAATGAATGGAAACTTAGTGAAGTGGCTCATCTTCTATATGTAATTCTTTTTGGAATAATGGTTCGCAATTGCGGATATTATTCCTGGAAGATGAGCCCATTTACATGGGCTTGACGGACAACTGGCATTACGGACCCAAGTACCATACATAGAATGGATTGCAATTCAAATACAATCCAAGACACACACACACACGACTATTTTATAGATAACATATGAATACTACACATACTCTTATTATATTCACACACACACGCGCACACAAGTAGTTTAATGCATAAGGGAACAAAATAAAGGATAACGGGCAACACCAAATTATCAATCTACATCATTTTAAAGGGTCCGAATTAGCTTGTGTTTTTTCCCGATATTCGAAATCAAGTTTGTTTTAAGCATTACAATTTAATGCCTAATGATTTATTGATTAAATCTTCAGATTAAGCTTACAACGGATCTTAATATTGCAACCCTGATTCAAAATAATGTCTTCAGGCAATGGTGCGTACCTATTTGCCGATTGCACAGGTGTGCCAGGAATATTAAAGCCTTCAATCGAAATCACTTTACAATAAGAATGATTTGCTTCTCTTACACATAGTCTAAAATAATGCTGCATACTTCTCTGATACGCCCATTGTTTAAACACTGCGTCTGGGACATGTTGTGTAAAAAGCGCAGGAAAAGCCAATATCTCTCCATCATTGGCTAACTGGGAGGGTGTCCTTGGTGCATGCTCTCTTCATAAAATAATTGTTGATTAAGTGGAATTCTTTAACTCTACTACTTATCTCTTATATATATCTTCCAAAACTTCACTATTATATCCTGGTATTTTCTAATTATTAAGTAATTCTTGTGCTAACTTAGAATAACTGTTTTAATCTTTACTTTAAAAACACTTTCACTCCAGGATCTTCATTTTCGTGTGTCTTTATAAAAAATCCAAATTAATAAACCTACTGTAGTAGAGGAGAACCTTCAATTTCATGTGCCTTTATAAATAATCCAATTAAAATATACCTATTATAGTAAAGCAGCAATCATTGGCCTTTAAGTTTGATTAAATACTACCAAAAATTTATATAACCTATTTATGAAGAAAGTTTTCGGTATGCCTATAGCCCATTAGTTCCTAGAAATAAAAATAAAAAACAGATCCCTTCAACATTGGTTTATTTTTATTAAATTGTATTTTGCATGACGCATAAATGTTTGTATCTGTATTTCACAAACTAACAGTAAATATATATTTATATAATTTATAATAACTATTTAGTTAATACAGGTTGTTGTTGTTGTGTTTGCGATCTCACGCGTTGGACTTAATTGGCTAGGTTCGGTTTTGTTCAGAAAATTGATTTTACCTGTGCTTTTTATTTGAAATGTAACATTTTCTCTGTCAAAGTCTTATTCTTTTGGATAGTTACGTGTTCTCTTTTGTCTCGTGAAATGTTTTGCAGTTTTTTCTTTAGTTATACTTGTAAGAAGTGTATTCATATTCATTCTTTTGACGTTACTTTTCTGTGCTTCAAGTCTTTTGAAAGTGTTTTGCGGGGGATTTATTTGAAAGGCCATATACTTATTTGACAGACCTTCGGGTTGTTTGTTGCTGTTGGGTTTGGATTTCTATTACAATGATGTGCCACTAAAAATTATAGTACATAAATATTATTTATTTAGCTGTCCATTGTATATAATATTTGTAAATTATTATCAATGCAACATGTAGATTCTCTACAAAATACCGAATTTCCATTCACGACTACTACAAATTTATTTAACTAATAATTATACTCGCGCTAATGTGTATTGTTTTTGCATTATTTGTCATGTATATTTACAAAACGGTCCGGCTTACGACACGCTGTCATTCTTACGCTTACCAGAGAGATAGTTAAATAAATGATTGGATTGTTTTGAAAAGAAATATTCGAAAGCAGAAAGAATGATTTTAAATTTCGTAGGTCGCCAATTTGTTGATTGCTAAGAATGAATTGTAAACCGTAGACTGACAGCAGTGTTGGTTTATGTTTAACATTTTTATTTATTTTTAGTTTAAAGTACCTGTTCGTTTTGTTATATTCAAATTGAAAAGGCAAATATGTTATTATACATACATTTTACAATTATTTTCAGCTTTTGTTCTTTACTTTAAAGTATGATTTTATTGCTTTTTTAAGTTTGTTTCTGATCTGAAGAAACTGCCATTATTATACATTCCCGTGCATCGTTTTCTAGATTTTGCGATTAATTTCTATTTTGCTTGTGTGTGAGGTTTTTGTGTTGTGATTTGTAAAACATTTTGTGTTCCATTTATGTTTCTTTGTTATGATGTAGGCTAGTGTGTGGTTTTAATTGATACGCGTGGCGGTGCTTGTTTGCTTCTTTGTAAGTAGTATATCCATATCTTTTATTGTTGTTTCCATTTCTTCGTTTCTGCATTTGTTGGTGTTAAATGTTCGTGTTAGTCAACTACGTTTATTCATATGTGTAGCTGCTAAATTGGTTAACATTTAATTATATATTTGTGCGACTGCCTAAATATTAAGCTTTATTACTCTATTAATGCTAATTCTGCTCACAACTAATTTGCCGCTAAATCATTTATACACATAATAATTTGTTGATAATCGTATATATATGGATATATATTCGTATATTTATATAATTTTACATTCGTTTAACATTGCTACAAATTGTCCATGCATTATTTGATAAAACAATTTTAGAAAATTTTAAATAATTTCATTGAATAATAGCTAGAATACACGTAAATTATAAATATATTGCAACTGTGGGTTTTATAGTAAACATACATACATATGTATACATCATATACACAGAGAGAAATTGTAAATTATTTCATAATAAAATATAAAATCATATAACAGCCTTTAATTGTTGCTCGCACAACATCTTTTGGTTATCAAATATCAAAAGATACAAATTATATTACAAAAATGTACAAGTGTAGAAAAAATTCGCATAAATATAGTTAAATCAAAATATATGCCTATAACGTCTTTTAACAGTTACATATTTATGAACTTTTAGATAGTGAACGCAGTTAATTCGTTTGTAACATAGTAGGTACATCGGAGACTCGCTTTAGTTGTCCAAAGATACGGAGCGTAATTGTCCGTAGCATGCTTGACAGACGCGCACGGGCTTGAGAATGCGTAGACGTGAGATTTCCGATTCGAAACGGCTACACTTATTGCAGAAGACCTGACCACAATTCCGACAATGATGCTTGCGCTCGTAGAGTGTGAATCTGAGACGGAAAAGCATAACAAAACAATTAGGTTAATTAGTGTTTGTAGCAGATGTTTCAATTCCTTATTAGATGTAACAAATGAATTGGTTTTTAAAGTTATAAGTTCCTAAGTTTTAATGTTTCTACTATATTCTTACTTAACGTGACACTTGACACACTGATCGGCGCCCTCATCTTTCAGCCAATGATCGGCTACGCCGCGACCGGGCTGCTCGGTTACACTCCATGAAAATATGCGACCACGGGCATCCCCTGCGCAAAAAATAGAATACAAATTAGTTTAGAGAAATTGTGATTTTGTAGAACACTTTTTTTTTACCTACCGACATAAAGTATTTTATGATCTTTCGATACTGTTAATGCAGTAATGCTAGCTGGTTCAGCATTATCTCTGCGATCATAGGCCGTGTGCATTGTAAGCTTGGATCTAAACATTAATTGACGTTGCCATTTGAAGCCTGTGCAAAGAAAATGTGTGTAATTATTTTACATTTGCGAGTATATAATTAACCTGCTTGCTTACCCTTTCTTAGCGATTGCTCCCCACGCGGTTTGTCATTGTCTATAACCACAAAGCCATCAGTCAGACTCGTATCCGATTTGCTCGGACGAATGCTGTGCTCCTCTGCGAAACACTGAAGTTATAGTTATAAGCTCATAAAATTTTTGTTTAAACTTACCCTCATTTGTCTTCGGCTCTGGAGCATCCACAGTAGCCGATTTCATTTCGTGCAGCGACTTGGCCCCCGTTACAGAGCTTTTCCGGCGCTCCGGAGGTGGTTCAGTGAGCTCGTTGCTTGTACCTGCAGCTTCTTCCGACTTTTGCGATTCAGTACTATGGTGTGAGGCTTCTGATATGCTGCTCTCCGATCCCGATTTGGCAATGTCTGGAATATGTATATTTTTGTGTAGGAAATTGTGTTAGATGTTCTGAATTTTGTAACCATACCGAGCTGTTGTTCCGGCTGTGAGAGGCTCTTCATTTGCTTGAGGATGTCCATTTTGGTAGCTTTATTGTCCTTGTTGTCATTGTGCGCGCTTATGGACTTTTCGTCGGGTTTATCTTGCGAATTGACCTCAACTCCCCGCTTCAGCTTGCGATCGATGGGCACCTGAGTGTGCTCCAATGACCACATCTGCAGTTAAGAGGTTCAATTAATAAAGAGAAGAGTATTGCAGAGGAATCTTTTCTACTTACCCGCACCACTCCGTCCGTTGAGCCCGTTATAACGACATTCTGCTGATCCCATTCGCGTATTTGTGAGAACGCTACGCAGAGAATTTGTTGCATGCGATCCGCGCTGCCGACACATGTATTAACCATGGCCAATGGGTCACCATTGATGCTCCACACATGCAGCCAAGTAGCGGAGCAAGTCGCTATTTCGCCGGTTAGATCGTTAATGGCCACAGCGGCCACGACGCCGACATGTCCGCGCAATTGTCGCACGAAAGTGAATCGCGACATATCCCAGACAATTGCCGTGCCATCACGTGATCCTGAAACAATCACATTGTAGGCAGCACTTGCCGCCAGACATGTAACAGCATCGGTGTGGCCATGCAGGGAGTGTCGCACGCTGACACTCTTGCGATTCGTATCGAATTTCCAGATGGTAACCACGGAGCTGGTGCCCGCAGTGACAATCATCTTGGCATTGGGGCAAGCACAGGTCAAGATCTCGCCAGAGTTCTGTGCGGCCGCCTCCGACACGAAGGAGGCGCGATCTGTATCATATAAGCCCACACGTAGCGAGTGATCGGCAAAGCCCCAGGCTATATATTTCGTATACGATGGCGGCATCATCACTTTATTCTGCTCCACTGCAAAGACTGTTTTGTCTGGCTGCAATATTTGGCCCACCGGACCTTTGAGCTCTTTGATGGGTTGCAGACTGGGCTTCAGATTGTCCAGATTGTGGAAGAATAGGCGATCGGTTTGTAGCACGGTGGTATTGCCCTGTATAAGGGCGGCAGGATCAATAAGTGCGGAGTGGCGTGAATTGGACATTTTCTTGGCGGGATGGGCTTTTTTGAACAGCTGCTTGGGTATTTGGCCAAAGTTATTGATGAAACCAATCGTGGCATTCTTCTTCAGCGGATCATCAATGCTATTATCAAAAGGAGTTTCTAGGATAATTTCCTATTGGATGCGAGTGTATAGGAAACTTACTTGTAGATGTCCACGTTGCCCTCGTAGAAGAGATGGTGGAACACGTTCACAGCATCGACAGCGGCGGGTCCTTGTTGTTTGCAGCCAAAGATCAAATCAATCCACTGCAATTGAAACATATACGAGAAAAGGAAATGATAAAGAATAAATATAGAGTTGGTCGTGATAGATTGTTAATACACACCAAATGCAAATTCTGACTGACATAATCACATTCCAGGGCACTGCGATGCAGTCTAATAAACTCGCGCGGGTCCTGTTTGGCCCACGGTGGCAATATGACGTGATTAAGCGTCTCCCCATTTTGCTTAGTGCCCAGATCGAAGTTGTTGAAATTGCTCAAGAACTCTGGCAGGTAGAAGAACTCTGGTATTAATTCTTTAACATCCGCCATGTTAAGCTTGGATGCAGACAACCAGGCCTCTTTAATGCTATGGAACATGCGGTCAGCTAAATCAAAGTGTCCTCCCTGCAGCTTGAGGAAAGGTTGCGAGAAGGGTTCCAGGCGTACCAGATAGGAGCACACAATCATTGCTGAGCTATAGTGGGTGCCATAGTGATAAGGTGGTGTCTCGCCATGCGGATCGTCCCATTCCTTGAAACGCTTCTGAAACTGCTCTAAACGCTCTTCAGACTGGGCACCCATGGGACGCGAAAAGTCGCGGAATGTCTTCGGGTTGGTGAAGTCCAACTCCTCGGAATCATAGTCAGCCAATATCCAAGGAAAGACGGGATACTGCATGAGATCATTGTAGGAGCGACCTGCGAGGGTGTTCAAATGCATAAGGTATTGGAAATTGGAGATCTCGCCGCGCACCCAGCGTTGCGTCACCGAAGTCTCGCCAATTAGGCCACTAAACAGGCCCGATGTTTGCTCTACGCTGGCGGTGCGTTTCTGGCCAGCCACCGATTGCTGTGCATTATCATTGAGAGCGGTAGCGAGAGCCAGGAATCGCTGGTTCACCTTATTGCGCACCTTACGTGGAAAACTGAGTAAATAGTTGCGTCCATCCTCGGAAAATACCTCCAGGGCGATGGGTTGTAGCAAATAGCGACGCTTGTGCACTTCGCGTATCTCTTCGTAGGCGAATTTGGAACACTGACGCAACTTGTGGCTATGTGCTATTGTGCTTGGTGTTCGAGTCACAGGCCCACCACCAGAGTTGGGAATAATTGGGTCATAGGCGCCTGGGGGTAGCGTGTCTATATCACGTATCTCACGACTCTTCAGCAATGTGAAACCATCGACAATGTAGCAGTGTTCTTTGCCGAAAAGCAGCAACCCCTCAAAGGTGTCCAAACCTTGGACTCGTGCACAGCGAAACATGAAACTAATCTTCTCCTGCTCCTCAAGCAGACGTAGAAAGGTCTCATTGTCTGATGTCATCGATGTATCTTCCTCCTCGTCATCTTCTTCTGGATTGGTGCCGTCCACCGATTCTTGGGGAAAAGGTGAGGTTCGCGCAACGATACCATGTGCCTGTAAATTTGGTGAGGCGGGTGGAGGAGGCGTGCTTGATGCCTCTGCGGACTGGCTGGCCTGCAACTTATGTGGTTGTGCCTCCAACGAGGACTGCTGCTGTATGGAGAGCTGCTGTTGCACGGTATGCGTCTCGGCCTCGGCTAGAATGCGTGGCAGCTGCTGTCCGTGCAGAAAATAGGTTTTGCTATCCAGGCTAGACGCTACTTTGTATTTTAATTGACGATTATCGGCCAGCTCTAGTTCCGGTCGATAGGGATAGTGGAGGTAGAAGAGATCGTTGCGCATAGTCTTCTTGCGCATGCGATGCGGCCCCTCTGTTGTGTCTAATATCCACTTATCTAGTGTCGAGCTGCCTTCGGGTCCCCAGAGTCCGCGTTCGCGCGTTAGTTCAGTTTCGGACTGCACCCAATCCTGATAGACATATCGCTGGGTGTGCTGCAACATTTGAACATACTGCTTGCAGCGCAACTCTAGCAGATCCTTAATGAGCTGTACATGTATTCCCGTGCACTCATAGGCCGCTTCACGACTCATGGTGGACTTTGTACGCACCAGTTCATCCTTCTTGACTTTGGTTCGACTGGCAAGGCGGGTCAGCCCACCGGTTACCTTTTGTATTTTTGACTGGATTTGATTGTGTAGCTCCCAAGGAACGCGATATGAAGCCTTCCGCTCGGCATCGACATAATTGAACCACAGTTTAGAGGCCAGCTCCATTACTTGCTCGCGTGTGGTCTGCAAATCGGGTGCCTTGGAATTGGCGAGCGGTGGCGTCAATGAAATCTTAAAGACCTCTTCAATAGCAGGCTTTTTACACACGTAAAGCTCCTCCCAGACACGAAATGCGGCGCCCACAATGAGATTGCGACCTTGCAGCTGATTAAGATCCTCGTCTTTGGGTTCCGTCGTCTCCGTCTGTGGATTTACGTGCCAGGTGGTGTTGCGACTGGTCGAAGGCTCCAATATAATCTTCATGTCTGCAGTAAGCTGAAGCAGACAATAGGTTAGGCAGCCAATGAACTCCAGCTCGTGGTTGCCCGCCCCAAAGATCAGCAGGCGATGTTGTATGATCTTGTGTAATGCTTCCAATACGCTCATCTGCTCGGCTATGGATTCGGTGGGCCGGGAGAGCAGAAAGAGGATGCTGCGGTTCAGAGAATGATGTAGCTGCTCCAAAGTTAAGGAGGAAGAACGGCGCTTAGCTTGCGCTATCAGCTTGATTATAAAGTCAAAAATGTCGTGAGGGTTTCGGGTCAGGCAACCCTGCCACAGCTTGTCCACGATTCGCGCCGTTAAGTAGAAGACATTTGGCGCAATGTGTTGAGTGTGACTTTGCAGGAGAGGCACGAGGGGCAAGGCGGCTTGCTCACCCACCAACACATCGGCTGCCAGCAGATGATCCATTAGAGCTATGATTATTTCCGATTGGTATTCCACCTGCAGTGGCAGCTCCGCAGTCTCTGGCGATGCGTCCAGCACAAGATCAATAACTGGCGTGGACTTTCCATGTATGTTCAGACCCAGCGAATCGACAACTAGCACGCGCAAAAAGTCAATGATGCACTTACGCACCGGATGTTGTGTTAATTTTGGTTGGTTTGCCGTCCCAAGAGCATGGAGAGACTCCGGCGTTGGCAGCACATAACTGCTGCTAGTTCCCTCTGTTGGTGTCGAGGAGCCACTATTCGGCTCCGAGTCCACGGAGGCACGCTCTCGCACTTGCGGAAAAAGCACGGCCACCAGCGAGGTGACTACATCGCCGGCCATCATGACGGGTGTGAAATCGTTGAGATTCTGATAGAGACTAAAGAGCAGCTGTATTATTGTCTCCGGATGACTGTGCAGCCAGGGGGCGCATTCGCCACTATGCACAATGGCCCGCACCATACCCAAAAGCACACAAACAGCTTCGGGACACACATTCAACTTTGGAATTTGTGTGTTCGCTGAGACTGGTGCGCCCCAGAGAAACGACCAGACGCGATCCAAATCAAATTTCGTGTGTTCTGTTGCCAACACCTTAACAGGCTGACCCATAATCAGAGCAGTGACTAAAAAGTAAAGTTCTGGCACGTCCAAGTGATGCTGTAACAGCCACTCGAGCAGTTGAAAACCTGATAACGAAAAGAAGAACATTCAGATTGCAGTGGGAATTAGCCGTCAAATTTAAATTGAGATTGCGAAAAATAACTCTGTTATGGAACTACATCAATTTTTAAGTGGAGTGAAGTTAAAATATTATAAACAACGGTGGGGGAACTGACTGTAATGGCTTTAGCAACCATTACTGAAAGAAACCCACTCACTCACCTGGTATATTTAACGCCGCCGTTCGTACTTCGCCTGCAATTTGCGTCGGCAGGTGCTGAATGGTGTTCTGTGGCGTGGCCACAATGACCGTGCCTGTGCCATTGCTGGGTCGTGCGTTTAGCTGTTGGGCGCCTAATCCGAGAGGTTTGCGTTGCGAGACCATTTCGGTGAAGCGCAAATAGCCTCCATTGTGAGTGGCATCACGGAAGCGGATCAGGAAACTCTCGTTGGCGCAGATCACTACGAGAATGCGTACGGCAATGATGACGGTGGTGAAGTGGACGTGCGGCTGCATGAAAAGCAGCAACCAATCCATGCCCAGTGTTTTCGAGATGTCGTCGCAAATGATATAGTTTACCGTATTCCGAGGTGTAAAGAGCAGGCCGTGTAACAGCGAGAGACAGCGATTACGCAAATATATGTTCTGCGCCATGGCTTCGGCTTCGGTTGTTGCGGCATCTGGTGTTTGTTCCCTTTGTGTTTGCTTCATGCTGGGGAAGAGCAAGGCGCGCTCCACTTGCTCCGCTTTGGGCAGCTTGGCAGCCACATACTGGCCGTAAAGCAACAGATCTGTGTGCCGCGGTTGACCACCAAGCAACGTCTCCAACAGATTAAATAGTATTTCGCGAGTGGAATGATCTGTGATGTCCGTAATGATGTGCAGCAACTTGACTAGCAGCTGTAGTTCCCGCATTATCTTTACATTCTGCTTCTTTTCATTCGATTCCACGGCCAGCTCTAACAGATGCTCCAGCAAAGAGCGCAGCAAACCATTGGGAGCATTATGCCAAATCTCTAGGTCACACAGCAAGTCCTGGAAGGCTGTTATATTGGGTATGGCTGACATATCTTGACCGCTGCTCACTGTGCCCACCAGACCAAAGGTTAAATGCAGAATGTGGGAGTTGAGCAAGTGTTTCTTCTTCTTGAAAAACATGCCCAGCGTTTGATAACATCTCTTTCGATCCATTTCCACTTGAGCAGCGCGATTGCTGCGCACCACACAGGTCAGCGCCTTGACGCCTGCATACAGGGATTCGACATCCTGAGCCATAGCAATGATGCCCAGCAGCACATTGCAACCACCGACTGTGTCAATCATGGCGGAAACGGGATGGGGGCTAAACACACGCACCCCCAAATAGCCCACGACTACGCCGCCCAGTGAACGTCCAGCGCCAGCCAAATGGCCCGCTGAATTGTGCAGTATCCTAGCATGGATAGAGATAGTAATCAATAGAGAGTTAATGGGAAGATTTAGCTTAAAGTCCACTCACTTAATGGGCGTGGCATTCTCGTGAGAATTCATATTTAGCTGCTTGGCAATGCTTTTATTGTCTGCACGGCTGTAGACTTTCCGTATCTTCACCAACGTAAGCTTGGATACAGCCTTTGCGTTGAGGCCCAGTAGGACGCGATCTTCGGGCACAAGCGGTGCCAACGGCTCCGCCTGCTTGCCCAGCTGTGGTGCTTGTAGCGAGCCCATGTAGTGCGGTCCTAATTGGTAAATAGTCTGCACGGTCTGCTGCGTCAGCACATCTTCCAGCAAATGACAAACTCCTTGTTTCCAGCAGAGACGCGAGTAGCGACGCCAAATGGGCGGCGTGCCTATATATCCAAAAACTTGAGTGGCAGCAGCCAAGTTGGCGCTGGTGGCACCCGGGTTTTGTGCAATGTAATGCAACTTCTGCGTGTGCATAGGCACGCCGTCCAAATAGAGCGACAGGCTAGAGTTCTTCAAGACGGCGCGATTGAGCACTACTACTAGATTGTGCCATTGACCCTCGTGCAGGAGATCGGGACACCAAATGCGCGCAATGCCATCGTCCGAGCCTTCTGGCTCCCAGTCGCCAATGCCTGTAGAAAGTGCGAGTGGAGTAGAAGTAATTGTTGGTAAGGTTACAAGAGATTAAGAAATGAAAAGGTTTAATTTCTTTATATTTTTATTAAGATATATGCTGAAGGTGTTTTTAAAATGTACATTTCTTTGGGATTAACTATTTATGGCATTGTTGAGAAAATGAATGAATTTAAGTGCAAGTTATTTGTCCGTAACGTGCATGATTTTTATAGATCCTTGCTTTCTTATAGAAAGGATAACTATATCGACTAGTCTTACGGCTTGGAAAGTGGGTCGTTTGTCGAGCTCGGAAATTGGGTCGTTTGTTAAAATAAAAGTAATTTTGAAATAATTTGTTTTTTTTTTTTGGGTTGAGAGTTTATTTATTTTATATTGCTTAAGAGTATATGATATAGTTCCAATCTGTAACTTACTTTTGCGCGGTGTGACCAAAGTCTCCTGCGTAGATACCACAATCGCTTTGTCGCGTGCTGATAGCAAGATGGATAAGCAGGCTAGATTCTCCTCACGTGGATTATGGATGGTGCGAACTAACGTCAGGAGACGTACACAATGCGGATCGGTTTTGGGATCAGAGAATTTCTCCACACAAAACCAAGTGGAATAGCTGAGACCCGTGGGTGGTGGAAAGATGCGATCGCCTGCACCTATGCCGCCAATGGTATTGGAGTCGATTGTGCCACCTGCAGTGGCAGTGGCCTGTGGCGCCAACGAAGGCAAATAGAGACAGCCGAAGCCTTCGGCGGACATGTTAAGCTCCACGAAAGGCGGCAGAGTACTAGAGCCGTGCGCACGAAAGTCACGAGGCGTCGTCATAGACACCAATGTCTTGATGCGTGTGAGGGGAACTGGACCCCCTAACCGATATGGCTGCTGCAGATCAATGTCGTTGCAGGACAACGGCTCCCCCAGCCGCAAAAAGTCTCTGAGCTCCGTGGGCTGCAGGGCCTGTGCCGCCAGACGCTCCAATATATACTGCATGGGCACGTGCAATGGATGCATCTCTTCTGCGAGAGCGCGCCTCGTGAGTTTGAGCAATTGTTCGGCGAGTCCATTGTCGCACATAATTTGCTGGTTCCGCTCGCTACGCACCAACGACTTAATAATCTCACTGAGGTACACTTGCAACTGGAGTGCATGCAGTGGGGACTTTTCGTGTTGTACGCTGGGTAGGAGCTGCAGCATACACAGTACCACGCCTGGATGTACGATCCGGGGTTCTGGCGTCGGCTGTGAGAGGTTCAGCTGATTGGGATGCACGGGTGCGGCCAACTCCTTGCTGGGCGAACGCGAGGGCGCTGGCTCGCTGAAGAGTGTAATGATTCCGCTTAGATTGGGCGCCTCAAAGTTATCGAGTGCAATGCTGTAGAGCAGGCGATAGATAACGCACACATAGGACATCGAGTGAGGAACCTCCGATGAAAAGCTATATGTATATGGAAGAAACACGATACAAGTGTGTGAAGTGTGGATTTTGCTAAATTGAAGTCTATAACTATTAATTGCATTTTTAAACCAACTTATATGTTTTATTAGTGTTCGCTCTTACCTGAAGTTGAGTATATCGCCGCTGAAGACCTCATGGTAATATTTTAATATTGTCTGTTGGTTTTCATGCGCACCCGTATAGTCTTGCAACGTGGTGGCGCTTCCGAAGCAGCCCAGAAGACGCAGCGTGTCGCAAAGCGAGGTGGTGCAGATTTCCTGATGGAAAAACTTCGCATTGGCCGGCTCAAAGCGCATGGCTGTTGTCAATGTTTGGCAAACAATTTGCAGCAACAATATGAGATCATCTTGGGGTATAGGAGGCTCTGTTTTTTGCACATCCTCTCCAACGGTTGCGTCAGCCAAACTGCCATCCAGGGAAACAAATACGCTGGTTAAGTAGACAAAGCCGCCCACTTTACGAAAAACGGTACGTGTGCGATGCGAGTCCTTGAGGCAGCCGAGCAGCATATTGAGTATTTGTATTTTAAACTCCACCTGATATGGACTGACCCCATGCATAAGTGACAGTATATAGAGCATATCGTCATCGCCTCCAGCTGACAGTATCAGCTCACGAATAATACCCAGAGCTTGCGGCCGGCAATGCTTAAACTTGACCAGTTCGTGTACACACTTGGCACCGCCACATTCACGGAATACATTGGCATTATTGCTGGCACCTCCCAGCAAAATAGTCAAAGCTTCGAGCACATGTTTGCCGTGTGTATCGATCAAATCCTCCTGTTCCGGTACCACAACAAGCGACTCCTCACCAGCCGTTATGCTGCGCACATGATCTCCATAGCGATTTAGGCAGCCCACGAGAATTTCCATGATACCGAGCTCCCGATAGACATCCTTGAAGACATTATTGTGCCGCAGAATGTTGAGCAACGTTTTCAGGCATAAAATACTGCACGATGTCGAATGATTGTTCTTTAGTAGCAGTGACAGGCTGATCAGCTCCTTGCAGGGCACAAAATTCAATTGGAATACAATAAACTCTAGCAGATCAAAGAATTTCTCCTGAATTTGTGGACCCTTGTGATGAATGCGCTCCGCAAATGAGCTGAGCGTATTTTCCGATTCAAGTATAAAGTAATTAGCATTCTCCGAGTGGTAGACGCGGGAAATTGCATCCAGTATGGTGCAACAAAGCGCTGGTGTTGTTGACTTAAGGAAGACCGTTTGGAGCACTTGAAATGCATAGATATTGCGCACGCAAGTCTCACGTGAACTCGCCTGTGGCAGCTGGAAATTTTGCATCTTGAAGACAGTATTAAATTGCGCTGGCGGTGGACGCAGCTCGTAAAAGCCGCACATGCACAGCGATGAGATCATGAGGACGAGATTGCGTATGGCGGCCTGAATTTCCAGTGAGTGGCTGCGCGTTGTATCAAATCTGTAAATAAATGAACATTAATTGATTTAAAAGAATAACAAACTAGTCGTTTATCAAGCTTACTTGAGCAAAAAATCACTGAGAAATACGTAGCCTTGCGAGGCGCGAAAATCATCCATTAGTATCTGAGATACTTGACTAGAATCCTTGAGGAAGCAAAACACTGTGACAAACATTTCAACAATTTCCAGTGGATTGCCAAACGTTAAACGTTGCATATTGTCCACGCATAGTGCCATACAGCCCTTGGCTAAAAAGTTAAGAGGGATATTATAAAGAATTAAGCCTTTTTATGTTTTAAATTAAATTAACATCTTAACTAATAGAGTAAATAGAGTGATTGTAAATAGTAGACTATGTGAGGCTAAGAACATTTAATTTATTTAGTAGATCTGATAAATAGATTTCTGGTTATCGTATTCTCTTTGTCGTCTACTATCATAATCCAACGACCAATCATAGTTGAACTTACAATGTATATAACTGACGACAGCATCGGTGAGACCATGTCGCGATATGGTGGTCAGTATTTCGGCTGCATTCTTACGCCACACAATATTGTGCGTGGGACAGGGCGAAGTAATCGCTGAGAAGAGCAGCGTTAGGTCATCCATGCGTGCCAGCTCCTCGGCGGGATATGGATACGAGCATAGCTTGACAAGTAGCTGCACAAACACCTTTTGTAACAGCGTGCGACGTTCATGTGCATTAAAATCACTGGCGCTCTCGCCACTCAGAGGCGGAGGATCATCGTCCACATGAGGCAGATCAAAAAACAGATACAGGCACTTGACCAGCGTTGAGGGCACCGACGCCGCTGTCATTACCTGGCAGGGAATAGAGAGTAAATTTACGTTACATCGATATGAACAGACAAAATCCATTTGATTTGTACCTGTATTAGCGACACATCGCCATTGGCTAACAAATTTAAAGTTGATAGCAACATCCATCCGCTGCTCGTCTCCTCTGTCGTTTCAATTTCCAGAAATTTGACTATAGCTATAGAAGCAGCTTCGGTGCTCTGATTGGAGGCGCGTTTTCGTATTTCGCTGACCATAAGCCGTGACACCTGTTGACAAAAAGCCACCACATCCCAAAACTTTTCGCTCATGTCATTGGCGGGGCAGCTGCTGAAGACCTGAAGGTAATCGAGAAAAGTATTTGTTGAAAAATCTATTAAATGATCAAACAAAATTCGGCTTTGTATAACACTAGAGAACAGAAGCAATAGGTATTTAAAAGCCTCATATGTAAAGTTAAAAACGTGCCAGTTCATAAAATAATTTAATAAGTACATAATTTAATTTAATTTTGTAATTTTCTAAATTGGTTCTTAGCCCTTTAATTTAGATATAATTTTTTTTTTGAATTTAATATTGTTAATTGGAATTTTAGCCGAACTGTGTATATTTTCCAACACCTTATTTTATTTATTTAATTACGTTACACTGTTACCTACCTTGCAAAATAGGGGCAGCATTTGATAAAGTTTGCCATCGCGCTCCTGTTCGCTTAGCGGCTCCTTGGGATGTGTGTACTCGTTGAAGAGTTTCTTGAGCGTCGCTAAGCTCATTTGTATGCGTGCGTCAAGCAGGGCGGCGGCATCCTCGCTTTGTGACGTGTGGAGCGTTGTGCGTCCATTGGCGGCGGTGGCGCCACTGCTGCCGGGACTCGCCTGACTGCTGGAGGAACTGCCACTCGATGGGGGTGCGCTTGCAGCACCACGCAGCTTACGCATGACATTCATGTTGTTGGTGTTGTGGTTCCTCAACTGCTTTCAGACTGCAATGAAGATAAATGGGAATGTTTTGGTTCAGCAAATCCCATCATCGCACATCATTATTAGTTACGGCAATTGTTTTCAGTTGTTGTTGTTACTGTTTTCAATTAGCGCGCTTAGGCAAGCGGCGCAAAGTGTTTATTGCTGATGATTCACACGGGCTTGACAATTACACAAACACACACACACACACACACCCTCGTACACGCAAACGAACTCACACAATTGCGGGGCATTGTCGGCTACTTTATTTGCGTTTTAAAGCTTTTGTTTACAATTAATCGAGTCGTCGCCGCTGGAAATTATTGCTGTTGAAAATAAACCAACCGCTGAATTCTGAGAGCGTAGGCAAGTGTGTGCCTCTCCCACTGTGCCCGCATAGGTGTCTTCTTTTTAAACAGGAAACGCTTAAGTGTGGGCGCTTGTATATGCACATACATACATACATAAGTACTGTAAAAATACACAGAAAGTTGAAACGTCAGCAGAGCTGCTTGCAATTGTTTAACCGAAAAAGCTTTATCCGACCGTTTGCTCGACTTTCGCCACAAAGTTCAACGGACCCATGACCTGTTATACGTGCATTTCGCAACTAAAACTACATATTTTTCATATGTATATATATAAATGTGGCAGCATATGGAGAATGCCGTTGAACTTAATAATATTTGCCATATGGCCTTCAAACTGTTAAATACGCCGCGAGTGCACTTTTCATTCGAACGCAAAGTAAACATACACAGAGAAAAAACAGCTGTTTGGAGCCACAATTGCGATTTATTTATACAGTGCTTTTTTTTTATTTGTGCAACAAGTGAAGAGATATACTCAATAGATACAAACTCATTCAGCGCACACCTGTTCGTGCTTACTATTACTATTAAACTGAACAAATATAGCGTTGAGCAAACGTTATCAGCATTCCAATAAAACTGGCACAACTAACGGCAGCGGGCGCTCGTTCTTTTTTTTGTTTTCACACTACACACACTACTTTCTTTCGGTTTTTGTTTTGCTCTCGGCAATCGCGCTGCTACGACAAATTTTATTGATTTTTCTCTTGCGCTCTCGCTCTCACTCAGCAGCTCTGGCCAACGGAGCACCAGCGCTCCATATAAAATGAAAAGCAGAAAGTCAATTTTTCCACAGGCATATTTTGCGTGCTTCGCATGCACTCACTTTTATCATATACGTATTGCATTGTTCTTTATGTTTTCAAACAGTTCAAAGCAATTACAACTATTGAAAACACTTTTAAATCGCTTTTATTAAAGCACATAACGCAGACTAGACCTAGACATTTAACACTTGTAATATCGATGTCTGCTCTCGCGAGACAAGCGATGTGCACAATATGACAACGATAAGTTATATCGATATGTGTGCAGCCTAGTGTTGGTAAACAAGGGCAAGATGTGTTGGCTTGAAATATGAGGCGTTTTGTCAATTCAGAATTGTAGACGAAAAATATTCATTTATTTTCCTCGCGTTGAGCGAAGAGGTTGTTTTCTTTTCAAATATATTATTATTTTGCGTTTTTAATCTTTTTACTTGCAATATCTCTCAAGAAACACTTCAAGCAACCCAGCCCATTATTTTATTAAAATTTTTGTTGTTAAACAAATAATTTTATTTAAGTTTATAAATATGATTTTTCACTTGCAATTGCTCTAATCAAGAAACACTTCTGGCAGACCTGTGTGTTTATGGATTTTGGTATGGTTATGATATGGTTATGGATATGGTTATTTTTTTTTTAATTTTTGTTAAATAAATAATTTTTTTAATTTTATAAATATGATTTTTCACTTGCAATTGCTCTAATCAAGAAACACTTCTGGCAGACCTGTGTGATTATGGATTTTGCTATGGATATGGTTATGGTTATGGATATGGTAATGGATATTTTTCATAAGATTCTTAAATCAATTATTTTAACTCTAATCAAAAGACATTTGTTTTTTTTTTCCAAGAAAAATGTCGGCGCTGATTTTGGCTCTAGAGGTTCATAGATTTAATGCATAGTAGTCGGAATTACATAGGAGCAAGCAACAAAAATAGTTATAGTGGAGTTATCGTACTGAAATTTTTCCAGAGCCTTTTATTTGTAGTAAGATGCAGTCAAGATCGGACAACTATATCGTACATATATAGTAGCTTCCACGTAACTGACTGACAGTGCACTATCTGTAGCCAAAGAGTTCTTGCTCTTCAATTTTATGTGGACCCATTACTTTAATTTAAATTGTTTCAGTTTATTTTTTTGAAACTGTTAGAGAGACAACCAATTGAGGGAAGGGAAAAGTGAAGAATTTGATGACAAGAAAGGAAGGAATGGAATTTATTTATTTATATAATTCATTCAATTTTTTTTTTATTGATGTGAAACAATTTGTATCAGTTAATATAACGCTAATACTTTCTACACTAGATAAAAAGAAACCAAACTTAAGAAAGTATACAAAACAAATTATAGGGCTTAACATAAAAAGTTGAGTACAGAACCGCCGATTGTCTTCTCTGGAGACTCGTTGTTGTTGTAAGTCATTCTTCAGCGCTGCTTCTGGCCAGAAAACGAGGTTGCTGAGAGGTTAATTGTTTTTAATAAGTATGTAGTATCAACTACTAAGTATTTTCTCGGAAATGACAAGTCACAAGGCATAAAACTAATGATGAATAAATACATATTTAATTCCTTACAATCAAGGCTCTTGGGTGTCATGCTACAAATATAGATACGACTATACAAATTGTTATTGATGTTCCGGTGGGTTGCTGCTCTTTTTAGGTGGTCTCTCATCGTCCGAACTAGACTCTATGTCAATTTGCAGGCGTACCGAGCTTGAGAACAATTCCACGGATTCTTCCGAGTCAATTTCTACAATATATGAGTCTTCTTCAAATGTTTCCATTTCGAATTCATCTCCGATACTTCTATCCGATCTAGATGAATGCAGATTAGTCATGGACCGATTTTGTGAATGATGGGAATGTGCAGCTTCAAGTGCCTTCGGTTCTGCGTCTTGGTATTCAGCCAATTCCCGAAACCATTTGCTATGATTGCGCAAGAATTGATCCACTGGTTGCGATAGGAAGTACACTTCAGCTGATGTCTTGGCCATATAATCACGATACTCATAGCCAGTATATGTCATGGAAACGGCGCCCTCTAAACTCTCTGCTCCTGTTAGCTCAGCAGTATGGGGTGCTTTCGTGATTATCTCCAGCACAAGCAATGCGTGTATTAGATACATGGTACCATTTACTATAGAGGCAATGCTCTGCTTCTTACATATGGCAAAGAAAAAGTGCTCCAGTTCCTGCTTATCTCCCATAAATGTCAAATGGAAGTCGATCTCCGCATAGTACATGATCACACATCCGCAAATATAGTGAAGTACAGAGCCCGATGACGTTATGAAGAACTCACGAAGCATTAGTGTTCGTGTTTTGACGAAAATCCTCAGTATACCCGTCATATTTATTAACATATAGGCAATGAAGGTGCCACAAAACATCAGGTTATGGGGCAATGGTTCCTCTGAATAGAGTGCACCTCTTATATGGTAGTACATGCAAATGCTGCCTATGACGAGTTCGAATACTTTAAAAAAAAACCATACCTGATTCATTTTGGAAACTCAGTTCTCAGGGAGAACTTTTCGAATTTCTTGACAAATGTCGCAGCTGTTACTTGTGTTCTGTGGCGCACAAGTTAAGCCGAAGCTCCAGTTTTCCTAATTGGGAAACACACATGAAAACAAACGAATTGCCATTAGTTGCACTTGTGGGATAATTTTTTGTGCAATTGCCAGTTGCCCTTTACAAATTGCAATACGGTGTATGTATGTGTATGTGTATGTGTGCAATGGGTTGGTATCTGTTTGCAAAGTATTGATTCGAATTGGTTTTGGTTTATTGCTAGTTTGCACTTGATATTGCTAGTGGAGAAGCATTTCAGAATACATTTGATGAACAAAAGTATTTTGGTTTTCTTAACCCTAGCAATCGAAGAGCTGTGCATCGCTATACAAAAATATTTGACTTCTATTGCATTAATGGAGCAACTATTTGGCTCATTTCTGTCACCTATAGTGGCAGTCCAAATAACACACTTCACTAATACGAGTATTTTTATCTGTTTATTAGAGAAGTTAGAGCAAAAGGAATGCCGCGACTTGGTGGATAAAACACTGTATATATTGAAAATGAAATCCTTTACTTCTATATGTATATATTTTCTCGTCTGATTGCTAGATTCGTACAAATGGAACTAAACGGACTTAAGTCTTTCGACACATTTGATTTCAGAAATGTTATGAGTTTTTCGTCACTAAGTTTCGTATGTCGTCAGTAGAGAACAAATTGAAATAATCAAAGGGGACCCAAGTTAGGTAAAATAAATCGGCCAGTAAAACGGTTAGGTTTCTAGAAACTGGCTGATATTTATAACCATGTACCTTTTCACTGATCAATTGTTGTTTATGTTTCTTAATTGAAGTCCTTTTTCAAAAGGACCATCTGCGATTAAACTATTTGAAAAATATACGGATCTGTCAAATACAAATTTTCTGTGAAATGAATGCTAGTTGGGTCCAATAATATCTGAATCGCATAAAATTCTATATCTTTCTATATATATATATCTTTCTATATCATTCTATATCTTTCTTTCATATTTGTAGCATTACTGTTGTTTAATATATTTATAATGAAGGGTACATATTTATTATTAAATTTTAATATTTATCCTAAAGAAAGTTACTGTTGTTTAATATATTCATAATGAAGGGTACATATTTATTATTAAATTTTTTTCAAATGGTATACAAATTTTCTGTGAAATGAATGCTAGTTGGGTCCAATAATATCTGAATCGCATAAAATTCTATATCTTTCTTTCATATTTGTAGCATTACTGTTGTTTAATATATTTATAATGAAGGGTACATATTTTTTATTAAATTTTAATATTTATCCTAAAGTAAGTTAATTGATAAATAAAATTGATAGAAGCCTTAGGAAATGTATACTTAATTCAATATTCTGTGAAATTCAGTTCTATAATGCTTTTGGTATTATCCTTGCGCTGGTTTTCTAATCCTTCTAATGTACTCACGCATATAAACATTTCAATTATTTTAACGCTTGTTGGCTTTTAATGCAGAACATCTGCTTGTACAGTCTTAATAGAACATTTGCTTTAATGTACTGAAGCTAAAACTTTTTACCCACACCGATTCGAATCACTAAAATGTTGACGGCTTTAAAGCCCTGCGCACAACTGTTGACCATGTTTGGCCACATTTTGCCGCCTACATTAAAAGTCGGTCCGGATGGCTTAAGCAAGCCATGTCAGAATTTGTTTACATAATTCGACTTCAGCTCTCACACTTGTTTTAACTTTATGCTATTTTGCATAGTAATTAGACAAATTTCTGCAATTTCTGCAAGTAATTTGCATAATTGAAAATTTAATAATGTGTCGATAAGCAAAATGAACAAAGCTATAGTCCTTGGATTGCAGCAGTTAAAATGTTTATTTGAAGCACTGGAAATAATAATTGAATGCACATAATATTAATGACATAGTTTTAAAAAAAAAAAAATGCAATAAATGTGTTAAAAAATTCAACGAATGTGAAAATATCTTGTACGTATGTCTTTAAGAATATATATTGAATACATTTGTTGAGTTGAGATATTACTTAAATTATATTGAGATAGGAATTAAATTTGAATAAATTGGTTTGTCTGTCGAATTTTACATGAAAGTTACGAACTTGCGGTTTTTGTATACCCTGTACCCGTAATGTAAAAATAGGTTATGTTTTTTGAAAGTGTGTAACAGACAAATAGAGGCATATCTAGCTTCATATAGTAAATAGATAAATTGATATAGTCATGTCCATTCGTCCCTCGGATCTTCCATCTAGCGCTGAAAGTTCGTTTGGCTACAGGGTAATCAAATGTCGAGCTTTCTCGCCTGTCTCTTGTTATAACTTTGGTTTCAATTTAGAGAAATCTCACTGTATACCTGCTAATAGCCTCCATTATTCCATTATCACTTGCCAGCAAATGGATTACATGTGAATATTTTGTGCATTTTGGTCATTGGTTGTGTATTTTGTATGCTCGTGCATCCTATTTGCGTTTTACATAAATTTATTAAGCCAATATGTGCATATGATTTATACATACTTGTATACTGGCGCTTCCTCTCTGGTATTAATATCTAGATTACCTGCATTATGGCCAGAATAATCTAACATTTGTCATTTTGTTGCTTCACTAAATCTCAATATTGTTTGCATAGGAATATGTGTATGATATTATGTTTGCCTCTGTGTTAATGATGCTATTTGATTTATAGACTGCAAGCTATTTAGGCTGTGGACAAGTACAAGAGTGTCTCCAACCAGACCAGGACTCTTTAAGGCTCTTACGCTTAGTCATGCTTATTTGGTCAATTGGGTTTGCTGCTCACGTATTTTTGGCAAGGCCTCCACCCGAATCCCTTTTGTCAGCCCTAATTTAAACTGAAACCAAATGCAATGTAATGGAGCATGGCCGAACCATGTCCTGGCAAGACATTGTTGTCGTCGCCGTGACAGTTGACACATTCACAGTTTTGGGAGCAGCAGCAGCAGCAGTAGCAGTTTCGGTGACAGTAGCGGCTGTGCGAACAGCTGCGTGTGCACACGTGCCGTTGTCAATGCAAATCGAAGGGAAATTTGTATTGAATTACATTTTGAAAATCAATTAAGCATGAATGAGAAGCACACGCTTCTGACAACCAAGGCGAGTCGAAGCTCCAAAAGCAAATATTTTCCTTTTAACATTAGTGGTTTTTCCAGCATTTGTGTGGGAATGAAATTGAACGTAGTGGCTAGGGCGAGTGGTGGGACATACCCTATACACTGGCCATACTTAGAAGGAAAATTTATTTTAAAATCGGCAGCAGAATTAGCACAATCATGCAAATACTATACATACATACTTGTACATGTGTAGAGACGAGTTAATAAATATATGATGAGAGGTAGAGCCAGTCTAGTCCCAATAAAGGACAAGTTTATGCTCGATAGATATCTTCTTCTATCCTGACAAATTTAAGGCATATACCTTATAATAAATTGCCCTTTATCCAAAAATACAGCTCTATTTGTTTTAACGTGTAAGAATTTGTTTGATAATAAAATGCACATTATAATAATGCTCGCCTTTGGCTTAAGGTGTGTTGTTTCTAAGTATTGCTATTTATTTATCTATCCTGACAAATTTAACACACATCCCTTATAATAAATTGCCCTTAAATCCAAAAATAGAATAGAAATAGAACTGATTTCTATTAAAGTGTCAGAATTTGTTTGAGAATAAAACGCAAAGGTTGGTTCTAAGTATTACTAATCCGAAAGTGAAGTCAAAAATTGTTCTATTGGGTCAGTTTTTTTTCCTTTTTTTTCTGTCTGCTATGTACTCTCAACGTCCAGAGAGAACTTCCATTACTTCCACCTGATAGAGAACACGTGATCCGAAAGACGGAAGTAGTGGCTTGTCCACGGTTCCAAGGGGTAGAATTAATTTAGATTTAATTGAAGCGCTGTAAATTATGTTCAACGATAGAAAAAACCTTATGGACAAGCAATACGAAAACAAAATGAAACAAATATTTTTATACTAAGTAATATTAATTAAATATAGTCTTAAATTTTTTAATCAAAAGTATGCAATATTGTATAAAATTGTAATGAATATTGCTCTATTGAGTGTGCTGGGACAGGCTTAGATCTTCCCAAATCAGAAAAGCGGCCAATTATAAAGGAAAATTTCTTCATCAACATTTTTATATTTATTTTTATTTTATTTTATTTAGTACATCAACAATAATTCTGTCGATTATAATAATTAAAATATATTCTAACATTTTATATATATTAAAATAAAATATAAAATGATGATATAACAATAATAATAAATTATAATTATATTTAAGAACTAATCAGAAAAAGTAAGAAAGAGAAAGAGGAAAAGAGAAAAAGAAAGATGAAAAGAGAGATAGAGAAACAGGGAAAGAGAAAGGTGGAACATATACCACTATTTAAAAGTCAATCCCTACTCATGCCTTCTTTTAATGGTTCTCAATAAATATCATCGTATTGTCTGTAAAGCTTGTAATATAAAGTATCCGAGCTCTTTAAGTCCAACTTCTTTGGCTCTTTATAGCCCCCCCAGGACTCTACTCAATTAAACCCCCCTTCTTTTCTCCACACAACCCTACTCTAGCAAAGCCAGACGGGACCAGGGAGTGGTCAGCTCCAGTTCCAGCGAGTACTTTTTGCCTGAAATGAAATATTTATATTGGGTTAGCCTCCCACGGGAATTCAAAATGCCATTAGCTTAAGTAAGCCTCGTCTGGTCCGAGAATAGTGCTCGTTTGGAGTAATTGTGGGCGCTGTCCTGTCTGCCTGCATTTCGGTCTGTTGTGGGGGTTGCAAAGGCAAGTCCCCCGATAGTGTAATTCAATATGGACAGTGCGTGTTTGCTGTAGTCGGGAAACGCCATAACTTGACCTTAATTCTAAGGCTTTTTTATGTAGACGCTTTTTGTCGCCAGGCTTACACATCGAGCGGAAATTTTCTGTCTCTTAAGGAAGAGGAACACACCTTCAACACATTTGCTTGCTATTCTATTGTGTGCTGGACGAAGTGAATGTTGGTGTTGGTGTGGGAGAGTGTGTGTATGTGTATGTGTGAAAATTGAAACTTGCAACCTTACTTGGCAATATTCTAATGGATTTTTGGGGCATGCAACGTGTCTGCTATAAATAGTCCTACCCCCATCGGCAACCGTGAAAAGCTCTGCTCAGCAATTGAAGAGAAAATGTTTTTGTGTTCCCGTACTTGCCATCTTCAAGTTCCATTTTTGTTGTTGGTGTTTTCAAAAATTAAAGCATTGCTTAAAAATTGTTGGCGAGGCACTCATGTGGGACTCATTAGAATGGTTGGGGCAACAACTTTTTACTGCCATTGCTTGCATTACATTCTATATTAAGGTTTTGTATGTAGGTTGCCTTTTTGTGGTAATTTCTCTGTATTTCTCTCCTGTTGCCGACAATAAGCAAACGATTTTTATATGGAATTTGGCAAGTCGCAAAAAAATGTGTCCCCTAAGCATTCGGCCCCAAAAGCACAATCCCTTCATGAATATTTATCTCCTTCTTGTTGTGGCTACTTTTTCTGTTGCTTGCTTTAGGTGCGTAAATTAACATAAAATTTCATTTGATTTTCTTCGGGGCTTTTCCTAACTTTGCAAATTTGTTGTGCATTTAATTGGACGCAGTCTGATGATGAGACCTGATGTGAAAAGCCTACGCGGCGGACTCTTGAAAACAATAATAGAAAGCATAAGTAGGGAGCAGTAGCTGAGGGCGAATAGTTTAATCAGTGGCTCTCATTTAAAGTACGCAATTAATTGTATAATTATAAATTCTAGCAATCTCTGGCAATGGGCCTATTTCTGTTTGCAATTTGCTTCTTTTAGAAACTTTTTCAAAAATTAGCTTTTTCAAACAGTGCACATAGTAAAACACATATGTTTTTATTGGCAGTTCATTTTTTATTATCTGACCAAGAGATGTTCACTCATCCGACTGAAATGAGTTTCTTTAAAATTCAGTTTAAAGTTTTATAAATTCTACTTAAGCTAAATATTTCCCACATTTCACAGCAATATTCTAATTAAAACAAGTTGGCATAATTAAGTTCGTTTGAATATATTTTGCAGCTTTAAAAAGGCAAGGATTTTCATAAGTCGTAGTAAGATTGTTGATTATTGAATACATTTGATGTCGATAGGCTTAATTTTAAAATATGAACTCAAAGCCAGTTTTTCAATCTGACAATAACAAAATTTGCATACGACAAGAGTATTTATAATTTAAAAGTTCAATATTTGGTGCAAATCCCCAAACACTCATCAACGAATTCACGAATTGGCGCAGTCTCCGTTCAAAGTCACGATTGTCAGTTAGTGTTGTTGTTGTTGTTGATATTGTTCAGACAGATGATGATTTTTATGGCCGTTATAAGAAGCTTATCGAATAAACATGTAGTCATAAATAAACGCTTAAGTTGGAGCAAAAATAACCCAAAGAAGTTCGAGAATTATCAAAATGATTGCTTTATTATTGACAATTGTATCAATTGCTGGCTGGGGAGCCAAAGCGTCAGTCATGATTTCTTTTTCTGATGGATGGCATGAAAGAAATGTGAATAAAGAAATGTATGTAGAAAATAATAAACTAGGGATGCTTTTTATAATAAGTAAAGCAACGCAAACATATTAAAAACTTAAAGATATTAAACTTAGAAACCCTACAAAAAACAATTTTTGTAATTTCATTTTCTTTTTAATAAAATTATAATAAAAATATGAAAATTTGGCATTGCTAAAACATATGTTGAACGACCATTTCTAAAAGAGAACAAATAATATAGAATTGAAGAAAAGTGTAAAGAAATGGGCACGAGAATGCTTTGCTTGTTAAATGAAATAAAAACAAGTTCCAGAGTTTTGAATAAAGTAGAGTTGATTTAAATTTCAGAAATGGTTGTCAACATGTATTGCGAAAATACCTAAATTCTATGGAGCAGCTGGGAAATCCAATTCGAATCTACGCATAAATTATTTAAATGCTGAAATGTTGTTTATTTAAAAACAATTGACCGTTTTTTTTTTATTTTCAAATTTCTCAAATACCTTATGGTCAAAAAAAGAAGGAACTGACAGACATGTCCTTATCATAGAAGATGTAAGTAATTCCTGCCATTCTACACATATTAAAGGATGTTTTGTGCATTTGGTTTGCTTGCAATTTTCCTGAAACATCTGCCAGTTATTTACCGGAATCAACAAGTTGCACATTAGACGTTTAATAATTCGTTTTACCATCTTTTAATAAAATTGTATATATCAAGAATTATAAGTCTATCTATCTAATCATTAGATATATCTGTGACACAAACAAGAAATTGTTTTAAAACATGATTGATAGCGTTTAACGTGTTTTGAGAATATGAAAAGGTTTCAATAAGGCCCGTCAAATCTCAATCATCTCGTGGAATTCTTAATACGAGTATATTAGGTTAATTAGTTTACTCTTCGAATAAGGTCCAGAACATGGCTAAAGACTTATCGCAATATTTTCTCTGCACTGTTTTTTTGCGATGAGATGACAATGGTCCACATACGGATACATACGTGTATATACGTAATGACAAGGTTGTTCCACTTCTGTGCTTGATTTGTTTATTTGCTTACAGAATGCCACATGAACTTGTAAAGTTATTGAGCAAATATCTGGGCTTAATTCGTTAAAGATCAACAAGATAAGCTGATGTGCTGAATGCAGAATATTGTGGATCGAGAATGGTATAAATTGCAGGCGGATTGGCTGCAGAAGACACATTTCGCAGACGACGATTATCAGTCCAAGATGTTCAAGATATTGGCATTTTTGAGTGGCTATGGCTTGCTTCTGGTACTAGCCCAGGAATTCCCCTCAGATGTGGAGCTGAGTGAGCTCACACCAGAGGAGCAGGTGACCATGGAGCCCAAAATCAATTGGCTGCCCGTTTGGGTGCCACCAGAGGTGCACGAGCAAGACTTTCTGGCGCGTCAGGCGCGTGATGTGGAGCCGGAGATCGCCATTACGCTGAATCCGGATGCAGTGGAAAGCTTGACCATTGAACCGTTGAAGGAAGAGCACGACACTACGACTGTGGCGCCATTGGAGGAGCGTGAGCGTGATGGTGATGGTGAGTGTCCCAGCACAACCCAACGCGGACTCATGAAGCTGATACGCGATGCTCGCAGTTTGCTGCCCGCCGATAGCCTGCGGAATATTCTGGCTAATGCGGTCAGTGATCCCGAGGTGCGCCAACTGATAACACTGTTGCGCGGGGACGATTTCAGGGCGCGTGTGGCTCGTCTGCGTAGTACCAAGGAGCACAACTCACTGCTGGAATTCATCTGCAAGCGTCTGCGTCTGAACTACGACTACTATGTGGATTGGGCACGCATCTTCCTCAGCATTCAGCAGACGGTGGAGCCGACCAAACCGCTGCCCAATCGCCGTCGTGGTGTGCGGGGCCTGCTCCTGGACTTGCGTGATGAGCTGCCCAGAAAAGCGCTGCGCGATCTCTACAGTCGCCAACTGGCTGCTGATGGTCAGTTGGCCACGGCTGTGCGCCTTATTCGCAGCACCGAGTTCCGTCGTCTTTTGCGTGAATATCGCGCACGTCGTGAGTATCGTGAGGTGCGTGCCTTACTGGAACGCGCTGGTGTACCCCTACAACAGGTCCTTCAACTGGTGGCCAGTGCCTTGGGCTGGGGAAATGTTGATTTGGGTGGCGAGACTCTCATTCTTAATGTCTGAAGTCCGAATAGGAAGTTGGAAAAAAGCTGCGAGTATATGCAATTTTTAATTATAATTTTAACCAAAACTTTATCCAAACTAGTGGTATATCTACATACCTACATAATAAAAACTGTATAATTAATATTAATAAATGCTGCTGTTATTATCAATATTTGAGTGTGTAGTGCGAAAGAAAACTTTAGAACTGCCTTACAGGATTACAAATTTATTCAGAAGATGCAAGACTTTTAATTCTTTGATGGATTCTCTTCATTTTATTACAAGTAGCTTTCAAATTGTAGGCATATGGGTTTTGTTTCACTATATTTGAATCAAAGATTTAATATCGAACTTAAAAAAATTCTAACAACTATAAAACGACATCGTGTTGAATATTTTAACAGAAGCTGATTTAAAGGTCATAAAATGTTCGGTTCAAATGATGCAAAGATAGTAAAAAGTCACTATAAAACATAACAAATATAATATTAAATTGATATAAAATAAAATATACTATATTTCCTTTTTTATGCTGAATTAGAAAACGTTTTCTGCTAAGGAAGTTCCATAACTCTATCCTCTACTACGTAATTTTATTCAATGAAAGTATAATATTTACAATGCTATGTTAATAGTTTAGTAGATTTTACCATTATATATTTGTTTAATTTATTTGGACAAACATAGACTGTCGACATAGATAATTCATTATAAAAGTTATACAAGTAAGAAAAGCCTATGATGGAAAATTCGAATCAATTATATCGAATAATATTAAATAATTGTATATATAGGATAAAATGTAATTTAAAACTGTTAGCATTTTTGAATAAGAACGTATGAAGCTTATAGCTAAAATAATTAAAAAGTTAGACCAATATAAAACTGATGAGATTAGAGACGTTGTCAAAAGTTGCGTATTTCCCATCATTTTTCAACTTTGTATTTGCAATCTGGTTTTTTTTTTGTTGTTTTTTAATTAATTTGGCAGGAAGCACATCAATCGCTCTCAATAGTTACTTTCTCTTGATTGCGAACCAACTTCTAGACACTTTCTACTGAAAGTTGAAAAAAAAGAGCCAACGATCAGATCTTTGTAGAATGTTGTCAGATGGCTGTTGCCAGCATTGCCTGCAACATGTTGCTAAGCACGAAGCAACCTCGCATTCCAGGCCTCTACGAAAACCCCCAGAACAGAACTGAAACATTGTTAACCCACGTTATCGGAGTCATGCCGTTAATCTAGTCAGCCGATTAGTTTGTTGTCTTTTGCGCTACATTTCCACAATGTTTGCTTATTTTGACACGTTCATCGGCAATTGTTGTTGTTGTTGTTACAGTTTTCGTGGACGTTGCATTTTCAACAACTCCCACATGTAGTCAGTCGTAGTATTTACAAGCCAGCATCTGTGAATCCAATAAATAATTTTTATATTTCCGTATATGTGTAGGCAATGTTTGGATTCCATCAATTGCCTTTTTGACTATTTTGGCTATTTTTAGAGCCAACAGTGGCTTCTGTTGCACGCCGCTTATTTCTACAGTAATTTGTTTATTATGCTCAAACATGGGCAACTGTTGACTCGATTAGATGTAAGCGTTGACAGCTCTGTGGTTGATGATGTCTTTTGAAGCAGCAGCGGCAAACAAGCAAGCAAGCAAGCAACATGTGTGGCGTTCTTGTTTTTGTTTATGCCGCGTGGCACGATTGACAGAGGCAGCCAGACAGGGACAGGGGCGGGCAACATGCGGCGACGCATATCGTACAAGACGACTGTCTGGCCTAATGATTTTGACCCTGAACGAATTTGAAGTGGTTTCGGGTTCTGCGCGCGCGCTTCACAAATACAAGTATGTAAACACACATAGCAGAGCCAGCGTCGCCCTCGACGACTATTCTTGTAATTGCAACGAAAGAGTTATAATTGTTTGTTTTGAGTCTGGAATAATTTCAAGAAATATGGAACAAGCAGACAGACTTGTAAGGGACAGAACTAAAACGCAAGAGAAAGACATTTGCAACTGCAAATAAAAGACGCTTATTTAAAGAGTTTGAAAATTCTTGTTATAGTAGGCAAAACATATATGTACTTAACTGTATTTCAAATATTTCATGTGAAAACATGATTATCATGAAGTTCTTCATTTAGTAATTAGGTATGAAAACATCGAACTTATATTTATGATTTTTGAATAGAACAAATTAAATTTCTTATAATTAATTGTTGCTGAGTCAGTTTTCTGAATTCTTGCATTGAATTGAAATCTTGAATTCTTTCCCAAACTGCACATTTAATTCATTTTTGAATTGAGAGCTAGATCTTTGAGTTTAGCAAATTCTTCTTTCTTTATTTATTTAAAAAAAACTATATATGCAATTTCCTTTTATGCAGTCATGTTGCCCGTCTGATCAGTCAAGCGTTGGCAACATGTTGCTGCCGCATTTATCTTTTCCGGCAACCTTTTGTCAGCTCAGCTCAAAGCAACTGCTACCCCAAAAGTCTCTGTTGCAGTATTATTTCCTAGCAGACGTTTCGTTCCGCCATACGCCATTTCAAACTCAATTAAGCAAATGGCAGTCGTTCACCTCTTGCCATTGTTTCTCCACTTTGAGGCAGACTTTTTTCTTGTGAACAACTGCCCACCTAGTGCTAGTACTGCTCCCCACCCACAACTCCCTCGATGCACTTGAGTAATACAATACCTATGTACGTAGAGCCGTGCACCCGCACCCACAGAGTTGGAAGGCGCTTCTTCAAACGCTACGACAGCGTCCCACCAGCTGTTTCGTTTCAACTGGCGCACCTTTTCCTAGACACTGCGCATTGGGCTCATGACTCCATACTCCACAATTATATACTAACAACTACTGCAGACATATAGTATATACTTGTATATAGACTTGTACTTGGAGCTGAGACTTCACTTTCAACTTTGCACAACGTTAGGTTGTGCGTGTTTCCGCTTTGATGTGCCCAGTCGGCTACAAACTGGGCATACTTATGTCCCTTTAGCTAGTGCAGAATACCCTTTACAAAGAGGCTACAGTGTATTTGTTCGAGGCCATTGTGTAATGCAGGGTTGCCCAAAATAACCCTCGATCTTTGTTAGCATGGTAGATACCTTTTTAGAAAGAGGCTACAGAATATTTTTTGAGGCCATTGTATAATGCACGGTTAAATAATCAACGATCCCTTTTAGAAAGGAAATAGGAGAGAAATAGGATAGGAATTCTTCGGAGATATAACTTTTAATAGTATTTAAAAGTATTATGGAAGTTTGTTTTGAATTTATATGAAGTTCAGTCGTTCAAAATTTATGTAGTTTTTTGCGTTTTTTATGTAGTTTTTTTTTAAGCTCAACATAAAGGACTATATTTTCGATTGGCCGTAAAAAAGTATTAAAATAGAATGTGAGAGCAATATATAGAAACATGAACTGAACTTGAAATCAAGGAACTGACATCAGTAATGAAACATAAATCAATAGCAGAAAAATCACCTTAACTAACGGAATCGTTATTTCAAAAACAGAGTCGGATAAGAAACTGGGACCAGAGCTAAAAAGGGAATTGCTGTATCAGTAGTGAGTGCTTAAAGCCTATTTTAATAGTTAGCATAGTTGCTAATTAGAGTTATATCTCACTAAGTTACTTGTAATGGATCTCTCTAACTAACTAAAATTAATGAATAATATGCATTTAATACTTGTATAATATAAATAGAAAATGTTGAGATGCAACACAATTTCGCAAAGAAGTTTGATTTAATCCTCTCAACAACAACAATAACTCATTAAAGAATTAAAATAAATTAAATTAAAATAAATATTATTAAATTATTAAATATTTAAATAAGAAATTAATAAAGAAGAGCATATTTTTGCCAAATTATTAAAATAGAAAGCATTTATTCAGTTCGCATTGCTGGTAGCTCTAAAACGGGAGCTAGGGAAGGTTGGTTGCAACTATATTAATAATACAAGCACTGGGAAGTACTATATAGAGAGCATGCTGTATTCGATTAATTTTGCTTTTTGTTTAGCTGCACTCAGCCATATGAGACGGGCCACTTGGGTGCACTGACGCTGCGCTGGCGTTGGCGTTGGCGTTGACGTTGCAAATATCGCTTGCATTTTTGTTAGGTGACCCAAGCGACCGTCCCATGTCATTTGCGTGGCAGTTGTTGTTGTTGTTAGTATTGTTGCTGTTGGAGCCTGCCATTAAACTGGCCACGCTTGGCCAAACAGCGTGGCAGGTTTTTGCTGTTGTTGCTGTTCTTACCCACGCTGTCTGTCAACTGACAAGCTGGCAACTGCCAAGGCCATTGAACTGTTGTTGCCAATCCAAATAATTCACAGCATCGAACATTGTTGAGGCCAAGAAAAATTAGGAGCGCGCACCCCACGTGTTGACCATGAAAAAAGGGGGCTTTACGTCATCTCTGCAAGCTATAAAACAATTAGAGATATAATTTTGCTGTAGACATATCAGAAGCGACGCCAACGGAAGCCATTAGAAGAATGCTGAGCCTGAACAGTGCGACTCGAATAGTGCTATCAAGAAGCAACAGCAGCAACTTCTGCAGCAACAACAGCAGCTTAAGAAACTGGTAGCCAGCCCGCCTGGCATTCCAAGCAATTAATAATAATTTCCGCTGTTCTAACAAAGAATTAAAAAAGAAGTTTAGCTTTTGTAGCCAGGCAAGCTGGCGTTGTTGGCCAGCTGTTGTTGCTGTTGTTGTTGCTGCTCTTGCTATTGTAATGTTTTATATACGAGCTTCGTAACATTTGCGGATGTGAAACGGGATTAGGGGATGTACAGCCAGCAAAAAAAACCTGTCAGACTTGAGCTTTACATGCCATGCCATAGAAGTATATTTTTAGCTGAATTTTTAAGCGTGAATTTTACTCCAATTTAGAGATGTGTGAGAAAAGCTTGATAGCTGCACAGTGGATCCAGATAAAGATAGAAAATTGTTATTAAAAAATTAATGAGTCTGTTTATTGTGTATATTTTATTATGTCTGTGCTTAAGCTACTACTACTATACTAATACTATACAGCATTTATCCAAAATACTTCAAAAGTGAAAGTTTAGTATCACTTTGGACCTATTTTAGAAATGTCATTGATAAGAGAAGCGCAAATCTTATTAGTTATTTCAAAGCGT